GACATGTTTGAGTTTTCTGATTTGAGCTGCAAGAATCATGTTTGAAGCGTTGTCTGTAACCAGGACAATATCTTTATCTGACAGCTGCCACTCTGAAACAACATCTGAAAGTAGCTTTGCCAGATGTGCACCTGTGTGAGACTCATAAACAGCTCTCGTCTGCAGCACGTGGGAAATAATCTGCCAGTCCTCGCTCATGTTGTCACACCCTGTCCTGTCTTCTCTTCGGTTTTGGTCTGTGTCTCCGTTAATTGCTCCCACCTGCCTCTTGTTTCCCAGTCACCATAGCTCCCGTTCCTCGTGTATTTAAACCCCTTCTGTTCTGTGTTCCATGTCGTGTCATTGTTTCAGTGTCCAGCGTGCTTCACTAATAAAACTATGTTAAACGGACCTACCTGTTGACCTTCTTCCGCCCAGCGATTGGATCCTACCTCCGCTCCACTCGCCAGGCACGCGCGTGACAGAATGACACGACCCGTTACAGGATCCAGCGGGGAGATTCTTCCGTGGGAGAACCTGCTCCAGTGGCTTACCCCGACCCACCAGCCGGCTTCTCCCTCTCCAGCCCCAGCTCCGCCTCGCCGCCGGCGGCGTCCCCGGCGTCCCCGGCCATCAGCCTCAGCGTTCCTCGCCGCCCTTCCGGAACCGGACGGGAGTTGGGATGGGGAGACGCTCCTGGATCGCTCCAGCTATGAGGGCACGAGGCTGGCGATCTGCTCCCCCGGAGTCGGTCCACGGCGTGGGAAAAGACGCCGAAAGCCAACGCAGCCCTGCGCTTCAGGACGGAGCTGCGAGCCCGCCGCTGGCCGTGCCCGGTGCGGCAGTTCAGACTCGCCCCCGGCCAGACCACCCATCCCGTCTCCTGCCGAACTGGCGCCTCCGTCGTCTGCAGGGGGAGGAGCAGCACTCGCAGCCCGGCTGATAGAGCTCCAGGCGGAGCTCGGCCGGTTCCGCCAACTCATCAGCCTCCAGGAGTCTCACCTGGACGCTCTATCCTCCTCATCTCAGGGCCAGAGGAGCGAGCCCGGGGTTCACCCAGCGGAGCTCGCCGGTCACCGGGCTGAGCTGGCCCAGCTTTGTTGGACGCTCCGCCTCAGGGAGTCGCAGCTGTACGGTCTGTGCTCCCTGCTCTCACGGTCTCCGGCACCGCCGGTTCTCTCTCGGCCGGTTCTCTCTCGGCCGGTTCCGGCGGTGGTCTCGGAGGCTGCACCCCAACTGGCCCATAAGCTGACGGATCGGGCCCAGAAGCAGAAGGTACCGGCCCGGAAGCAGACGGTACCGGATCCGGTCCAAAAGTCGGCGGTCCAGAAGTCGAGGGACCAGAAGCCGACTCCCCCGGACCAGAAGCAGACGGTTCCGGTTCTGGTCCAGAGGCCGACGGTCCAGAAATCGAAGGACCAGAAGTCGACGCCCCCGGATCAGAAGCCGACGCCCCCGGACCAAAAGTCGATGGTGGTTGACGCCCGGTCCTGTTCTGAAGTCGACGCCCGGTCCGGTTCCGAAGTCGACACCCCTTCCTGTTCTGAAGTCAACGCCCCTTCCTGTTCTGAAGTCGATGCCCCTTCCTGTTCTGAAGTCAACGCCCCTTCCTGTTCTGAAGTCGACGCTCCTTCCTGTTCTGAAGTCGACGCCCCTGAGGTCGACACCCCTTCCTGTTCTGAAGGTGTCTCCTCTGAAGTCGACGTGTCCGAAGGCATCTCCTCTGAAGTCGACGTGTTCGAAGGCGTCTCCTCTGAAGACTACGTGTCTGTAGTCGTCTCCTCTGAAGTTGACGTGTCCGTAGTTGTCTCCTCTGAAGTCGACGTGTCCGAAGTCATCTCCTCTGAAGTCGACGTGTCCGAAGTCGTCTCCTCTGAAGTCGACGTGTCTGAAGTCGACGTGTCTGAAGTCGTCTCCTCTGAGGTTGACATGTCTGAAGTCGTCTCCTCTGAGGTCGACGTGTCTGAAGTCGTCTCCTCTGAAGTCGACGTGTCTGAAGTCGTCTCCGCTGAAGTCGACGTCTCCGCTGAAGTCGCCTTGTCGGAAGTCGCCTTATTCACCCTAGATGTCGACGCTCGTTCCACTCCCAGGGTCGACGCTTCCTCCTGTCCAGAGGACAACGTCTCCTCTGGTCTGACGTCTCCTCCGTCTCTGGTTCCACTGGTGGTTCTGGGGGTCGCTCCGGCCCAGCCTGCCGAGACTTTGTTGCCGGTCCACCCTGCAGGGACTTTGTTGCCGGCCCAGCCTGCAGAGACTTTGTCACCGGCCAAGCCTGCGGAGCTCCTCTATCGTGGACGCCGGGCCCCAAGAGCCCGTTGTTGCCTCCTCCTCTGCTGCAGGTGCCGGCCTCCAAGGGCCTGTCGCATCCTCCTCTGCCGCAGGCGCCGGCCTCCGAGGGCCCGTTGCCTCCTCCTCTGCTGCAGGCGCCGGCCTCCGAGGGCCCGTCGCCTCCTCATCTGCCACAGGCGCCAGCCTCCAGGGGCCCGTCGCCTCCTCTTCTGCCACAGGCGCCGGCTTCCAAGGGCCCGTCGCCTCCTCATCTGCCGCAGGCGCGGGCCCCCTGACTCTGCTGATCCCTGCCACCTCTCCTGTGGTCCCTCGGTTCCTCTGGGCCCTCCCTCCGGGTCCCCCTCCTCCCGCCCTGCTCCTTGTTCCTGTGGGCGTCTGGGTTCCGCCCTTAGAGGGGGGGGGGGGGGGGGGGGGGGGTACTGTCACACCCTGTCCTGTCTTCTCTTGGGTTTTGATCTGTGTCTCCGTTAATTGCTCCCACCTGCCTCTTGTTTCCCAGTCACCATAGCTCCCGTTCCTCGTCCCTTCTGTTCTGTGTTCCATGTCGTGTCATTGTTTCAGTGTCCAGCGTGCTTCACTAATAAAACTATGTTAAACGGACCTACCTGTTCGCCTTCTTCCTCCCCGCGATTGGATCCTACCTCTGCTCCACTCGCCACACAGTAATATAGGACTCTGTTGCCACTGAAGTCCAGGAATTGCATGTTATTGCTACCAAATTAGCTTTGCTCATGGAGGTTAATATCTTGGCTTTGGTTTCATCATGCAGTGCAGGAGTTACCTTTTCTGCAAAGTGGCTACGTGCAGGGACCTTGTATCGTGGCTCCAGTGTCTTTAACATGTGTTTGAACCCAGGGTTTTCCACGACTGAATACGGTCGTAAATCCTTCGCAATGAAAGCCCCCACAGCCTGGGTTATTTTCTTCCCTTTTTCTGAGTTGGGAGGTATTATTGAGAGAGCCGCATCAATTCTTGGCTGCGCAGGGCTGGGCGGTTCAACAGCCGGTGTTGTTGTTAGCAACTCAGGGTGGAAACGGCTAACGTGATTCCTTAAATTGGTGGTGTTCCCGACGTATTTAATCTTGCAGGTTTTACACACGGCATATGACATGTCCAAATCATGTCTTTCTGATTGTTGGTAAAATCCAAAATGGCTCCATATGTCTGCTTTCATTGTCTTTGGATGGTCTTTTATCTGTAACTCTAACTCTGAGCTTTGTTCCGCCATGACCGCAAAGGCGCCAGTGCGCAGCTGCAGTTGTCGCTCCATATGACGTATGAATCAAGGGACAAAATCAGCCAATGCTAGGCTAAAAGATTCATGTTGCGGTTGGAAAACAAACATTATGTTATAATCGATTATAGTGCGCTTCTGCATCGATGCATAATCATTTATGTCCGCATCGCAATGCATCGATTATATGATTATTTTAAACGGCTCTAACAGACTACAGAGACAAACATCAAGGCTTCTGGTTAACAGTGTTGGGAGTAACGCGGTACAAAAGTAATTAATTACTGTAATGCACTACTTTTTGCTGTAATGTGGTAATGTAAGGCATTACAGGGAAAGAAAATGGTAATATTTACTCGGTACAATTGTCAGTAACGCGGTAATTACAATGCATTTTTAAACCCAGAATCAAGATGTGGGTTTCCTAAAAATTCTAATTGCGGGAAGCCTGAAAAAAGATCCAGTATCCACATATATGGCGTCATTTATGGACTCAGCTTTGGGGGCATTCTAGGAGCAGAGAGGACGCAGCGGTAATGGCTCAAATACTCCAGCTGCGTCCTGCGCGCAGCCGCTGTTATATTCACAAAATCGCTCCACCAAAACAAAGTATTTCGTTTGCGTTCGTTTGTATCAGCCCATATTCTCTGGTACTTCATGTACTTTTCAGCCGAGTTCATAATCTGTGCCCCAGTGATTTCAACTCATTGCTGCTGGAGCGCAGTGCATATGAAGCTTTTTATTTTTTTATTACTATTTTTTTTTTTTTTGCATTCGGTAGAGCCCTTTGGCTGATTAGTTAGAAAGTAGGAAATCTAGCAAACTGTTTTTCTGGAAGACGGAGAAAACATGCAGCATGCAGGAAGGCTAGAGAGAGAAAGGGCAGAAAATTATTCAAATAAAATCAAGAAAACAAAACAAAGTGCTTAAAAAGAAAAAAGTAGGTAGATTTATCCCCAATACACATTTTTACCAGTGAAAAGCAATAATATATAAGCATTTAATATTTATACAGGTGATAGAATCAGATCACCCCAGAAGTCAGTCCCACATCCAGGGCCGTATCAAGGCATTTGGGGACCAAGGCAAATATAGGCTTGGAGCCCCCACCACCTCACTCCCTGATCAGTTAATATAAGATGGCAGCGTGCTGAGAGTACAGATTGTTGTTGCTTTTATTTAATAAACAATCATTTAAAGCACTGTTATTATATCTGACTGTTTTTAACAGCAGTCCTAGCTCAGACACCACATCACTTTCCACATATATGTCATGAGCTCACTGAGCGTCAGATTACCAGATTCATATTGAAGTTGTTTTGGTGAAAGTAACTTAAAGTAATGCAAAAGTAGTGTAATGGCTTACATTTTAAAATCAGTAATATTGCAATGTAATGAATTACTTTAAAATGAGTGTAACAAGTAATAAATAATGCATTACAGTTTTGAAGTAACTTGCCCAACACTGCTGGTTAACACAGAATAGAGTCAAACTTACATAAAGTAGATGGGATATCCACCCTCAAAATACCAGCAGTACTTCTTGGCTTCTATGCACTGTAACAGAAACAAACATAATGGAGTTATGTTCATGGAACTGATCAGACCTACAGCATTTTTAGGGACTGTGTATGAGCACAGGCAGATGCTGATGCTAGAGAATAAATTACTAAAACCCAACCGCGTGTTCACTCCCAGTGTTTCCTCTGCGCCATGCCTGAACTTCTAGCTCCACAGCTATGAAGTAAACTGCCCCACCCCCACTCTCATGCCAGCAAAACAGTCTGTGAATGTAACACACCTGCCCCCCCGGGAGCTTAGCGATCAATTGTCGGCTCCTTGACGAGGTGAAGCACCTGGGTTAAAAGTTTAGCTACCGCCGCTGTAGAGCTGGAGCCGGGTGTTTCCGGAACACCGAGGATTCTGATGTTGCACCTCCTCATACGTGCTTCCATATCTTCACACCTTTCTTTTAGTTCCGAGAGCTCTTTATTCAGACCCTTCACAGTATTTTGCAGTGACATCACCTCATCCGACCACATAGACAGGCCATCTTGCACTTCCTTTATCTCCGCTTTCACCTGGTCAACTTCTCCGTGAAGGACGGCCGTAGTTCTTAATCTCGTTTTTTACATCTTGGAGTTCGCCTTTTAAACAGGCGAAGTCCTCTGCCAGAGCGTTCTTTAGTTCCAATTTTTTGACGGTTGAAATGTCAGCTTTCAGAGCCAGGAGAATCTCAGACTTCAGAACGTCCATATCACTGCGTTCTGGCGAGGTCGGAGGCGAGTCCTCCCGGGGGCTTACCCGAGCTCTGGCCTGAAAGGGCGTCGGGCCTACCAGTAGCCGCGTTAGCTCCTCCGGTATATTTACATTTCTGCAGATTTGTACCCATTTATTCATTCAGTGAGGATGAGTTTGATATGAAACACTGTTATCTCTTGTGTTTGAAGGGACTGTTGAGATGTATTCTGTTGGGTATTTTTATAATTGTACCTTTTTGAGGCCTAAAATATGCCATAACACATCATGAATCTCTGTGTTTGCCAACTACTGTGGCTGTTCATGAAAGGTTGAGCAAGGATGTTGATTGTAAGAAACCTCTGTACCTCTGTAACCTGAGAAGGCCCTCCTTCTCCTCCATCCATTGTGAATAAAGCCCCTGACGAACTGGGAGCACACGGGAGTGACATGGGGAAGCCTCGGAGGAGGTTTCTCTGTGTTAACTCTCCATGTTTTGGGGACTCAGGGTAAAATGTCTTCCTTGTTGTCATGTGTGTTTATTTCAGGTTCCAGGGTTATGGAGATTAAATATTACTTAACATTTAATTACCAAACATAATGGTGGAGGGTATGCAGAGCTGGTAAGAGCAGAAGGCTGAGGCTGGAGCAGAGTGGGGGCTGGTTGGTTGAGTCCAGCTTCTCACATGTTGATTCGCCCACATGGACATTACAAATAATCAGTTTACTCTCTCTCTCCGGGTGTGTCGTCCTTTAAGGTAATATGGGATAAATCTAATTACCTATCATATTCTATAATGGACCAAATTGCCACAGCAAGATGGGAGCCACACCAACCATGACTTACTCTGCCGCAACCATCTTGCCCTCCAACTCCTAGTGATTTAGATCATTTTTGCAATTTTTAAACATTTTGTGACTGATTTGAGTCCATTTTATGCTTTGTTTTATCTACTAATCTCTGATTCCTACTGTGGTATATTCACATATAGGTTTGATTACCAACACCACTGATTTACATTTTAGCGGTTCTTCTTTATATTACTAGTAATGATTTTATTACTTATTTTAATGATATATTCACAGATTTACATTTCTGCTTTATTTCATTACAGCTGATTCCTTTTCGTCATTTTGTATGTATGATCTACTTTAGTTTGATTTTTACCTGTTATGGGCTACAGATTATTTTGCCCTTCTGTTTTGACAACATTTTTGCTCGAAAGCATTGATTTTCCCTTACATATATTATAGGGTTATGTTAATTTTGTTCTTTTAGCAACACTTTTCCAGCACATGTAGTTTACTGCATTCATTTCCTTCACCTGAACTCCGTTCACATAATTTGCTTCACATAGCACAAATAGGCACATATAGTGCTAGGTTAATTTTTGTTTGTTAATTTACATCAGATGCAATCTATGTGTGTCTACATTCAAGTGCCCTGCATGTGTGCTCTTCTCCTCTCCTGGGTTTTGCCTGTGGTCCTCACTTCCTGGGAGGACCTCTCTACACCATTGGCTGATTCTGCTGCCTGAGGGTCCGGTTCGCTTGGGTCTGGCCGTCATGTGGTTCCTGCCATGGTTGCTGGAGTTCTACGGTTCGCCTGGGGCTTGCTCCGGTCCCTGCTCATCTACTTCCTTCCTGTGGATTATGTTAAGTGGAATTCTCATTGCCTGTTTGGATTTACCTTTTCAAGTTTGGGAGTACCATTGACTATTCTCTGGTGTGGGGGTTTGCTTTCCTTACTCCTGATGCCTTTGCCTGGGAACTAACTTTTCCTTCCTCGACTGAGTCCCTAGGGCCTCTGGGATTGTTCAACGACCCGTGGTTTCCGCCAGGGCCCCGTGACTTTGAAAAGGGGGGTTATGTAACGTCCAGCAATGGTCAGTTTTTAGGTACTGTTTGACCATTCAACATCTGGTCAAAATGGAGACACGAGACTGCATGTTTTCCCTTTAAATCGGCCTGCCTTCATCCCATCAGCTGGAGCTCAGAGCCTCTCTGCAGCTCTGAACACATGATAAGGTATTGTCAACAATGATGTTCTCTCCTCAAGGTCCAAGCTTCCCTTATCGTCCTACAGGATTCTTCATGCCTCCGAATAAGGAACATTCGCAGCTCAGATTAGTTGCTAAATCAAAGAATGATTTCTTAAATTAAATATGAACTTTTAAAACGTATAAGTTAAATAATCATTAAATAAATGTTTGTTTATGGCTACTTATAATAATCATAATATAATGAGATGCTTTCATTAATCTGTGCTTGAGCGATTGAAGTTTGAAATTAATGTTATGTTATGATTACATTGATTGACATATGTTTCAGCACGTTGATATGACAAGGTCATCACCATTTGCACTCATACAAGGACAAAGTAAAGTTCAGTCAAACGCGTGACACATAGATAGTCTTTTACCCCAGATCAGAGCATCGGTATCAAGGAAGGCGTGTTTCTGAGGTTGCCTTGGTAATATTCCTCAACTTGTCAACCTCTGGTTGGCTACACAAATCATAACATGAGAACATTAAAACTGGATCACTCTGGTGATTCAGCAGTTCAGTTCAGCAGTTCAGCTCAGGTCTTGTGAAAGCTTCAGACCGGCATCTGAAGCAAAACCTCTCTAACCCATCAAAGCTTTTGACATGTCATCAAAATCTTTTTGCACCTGCAAAGCTGATACAGCAAACAGTTCCTGCAGAACAAGCTGACGTTGTTTGTTGACTGCTTAAGAGTCTCTGACGTAGGGCTGGGCGATATGACGATTTTAGACCGTTTTACGATCTACACATCTGATGGTCTGTCATTTTTGAGAGACCTTTTTTATCACGATTCACAGCTCTGCTGTTGAATTTCTGCCTCTGAATGAAAATGGAACTTACCCCAGGCGAATGACACGCCTTTGTTTGACCCTTAACCAATCAGAGTGAGTCATAGTAATATATTAGTGCCCCGCTTCTTGTTTTCACCTGTGTGTGAACAAACATGGCTTCGGCCGCGGCTGAGAGTGACAACGACGTTTTCGTTCCGAAGAGGAACGCAGGGTTTCCTTAGCGCGTGGCGCTAACAACTTAGCGACATGACATGTCTCGGAGAAAGCGTAAAAACACGTTGGACGCTTCTTCTGAAGCAGGAAAATAACACCACTTCTTAAGCAGAGCATGACATTGCCTCGGCTCGTCCACCCTCTGCCGAGCCGGACTGAGCTCGGTCACTGGGTCGTTGGAGCTGCCCCATGACTGCCTGATGGAAAACCAGCGGGTTTCATCAGACTCGTAGTTTCTTGTTTTTGCTGGGGACCCCCTGTATTTTACCGCTCCCTCCTGCAGTCTTCCCCTATTAAAATTTAAAATGATTCTGTAAACTCCGTGTATCAATAGAAACAATCTCTGCCTCTGCCAGCTGCAGTAAATGTCGTTTCCAAATAATAAGAGGAGCATTCATCTGTGTATCTCCTTTTATCCGCATTAGTGATATTTTCAGCACCAGAACAGTGAAGCAAAGAAAGATTCCTGAGTTTGTTAGTAATTTTATTTATTAGGTGCATCTAACCTGTTCTATTTTTCTCTGAAATGAGATCAAATCAGTGCTTCTATGGGTTGTCTCCAATCTGCACTGGAAATTTTTACTTTATTTAGAGACTTGTTGCAGAAAATATTCAGAATGCTCAGTTTTTTGCTACCACAAGCGATCTCTGGTCCAGCCGCACATCAGAGCCGTATTTGAGCTTAACTATCCACTACATGAGCAACTGGGAGCTACATAGTATTTTGAACAAGTTAATGTTTGCACAATACGTTTGCAATTGACATGTTTGCTCTTTAAATATGTTTACGATTTTCATTTATGTTAAGTTACTTGAAAAACGAGAAAAACAGATTTTTGTAATTGTTTCTCTCAGGGCTTTTATCATCTCTGGTGTGAGTTTAAAATATAAGTGTGTTAGCACTGTGCTGATTATCCCTAATATGAATAAATGTTTATTTATTCAATGTTTCTCTTCTTTAATACGCAATTGAAGTTATGCTATTCATGGGTTAAAAAATCGTGATAAAATCGAAATCGTGATAAAATATTGGAAAAATCGTGATATTCTATTTTTGCCATATCGCCGCCCAGCCCTACTCCGACGCGCGGTTCCATCCATCTGTCGTGGCCCGAGACATCTCTGGACTGAAGAGTCGGTACTACGGTTTCTACAGCCCTCGGTGCCAGAGGTCATCCAACCTCTCTGACCTTCGGATCCACAAATAGGGTCTCTGAGAACGTGTGAAGTAGACACACAGATAACGTCTGATGCCTTTTGATAATAACCAACTTCTTAGCTTAAAGCAAACCAAATTCTTTTACATCCAAAACTCAGCTCCCTAGATACGGAAGTTCTGATAACATTGCATTCACACATAGGCACCGTACACTACACCTGCTCCTTCTAGCTCCATCCACTCACAGTAAATGTTAGTTAACCTGTCATGTTTGAATTGTTTTAAAAATAAATTCTTTTATAAGCCTGACTCTTTTTTGAATCAAAACAAAGTGTTCTACAATCCCTGAATAAACAAAGAATCCTAGAATCTTCTGATTAAACACAGTAAAGACCAAACAGGTTGATATTCTATATTTATATTGAGTATCACAGCTTATTGGCCATAAGTAGAGGTAACATATTTTGAGCTCTTAAAGCACTCAATTTACCAAACCCTACACCGGTAAAGGAAATGAATCGTTCCATCCAGGTATCTTGTCGGATCTGCTTTAGTCCTCTAAGGCCATTTAATTTGGTTCTGTTCATTTTATTGTTGTTATCTGAACCGGGGGTTCGGGTGGAAGATCCCAGAGGCGATGAGCCATCCCGAACCACGTTGGCGCGTCGCTGTCCGTGGTCCTGAATGAGACTGAGCCCTTGAGAACCGGTGAGGAGAAGGGGTGAGGTTAGAGGTGTATGCTGCTTAGTCAGGGTGTGTGCGTGTGTGCGCGCACTTGGATCGTGCTTGCTGACTATACCCTGGTGGAGGGTGTGGTTGCTGAGAATAATCTGATCTGATCTCTGGTTTTGCACCACCTCCTGCTGCATCCTGAGCTATCTGGAGCATGAAGAACAGTCAAAAATCCTGATTTTTGAAACAAGCTGTGATCTCTGGCAAGCTGCGGTCTTTTGGTCTCTTAGCTGATAGCCTGCAGCTAGGACGCTGAGACGAGCACGGTAGCATGCCTGGCTGAGATTAGAACCTGTCCAAGTTCCTGAAAGTTCACACGAGAGTGTGCAGGTCTTGTCCCAGAGCGGGAGACCAGCGTCTGTAACAGTCCTTAAAATTGCAATTTAACAGAGATCCATGGAATAAGTATCTAATATATAATCTTCTATCATAGGATTATTTGTGGCTTGAAATATTTCATTAAAACATGTCATTTTGACGTGCACGTGCGTGATGCACATCTCATATGAGCTTTGAAATTAATTAGGCCCATCCAGATTTTTCTAGGCCCACACATTTGCTACGTTCTGGCTCCACCACTGGGTGGGAACCTCCAATTTTTGGCTTCAACTTGCCCCCTGGCGGAGCAATGGGTGGGCTATGTTCATATTTTTAAGTGTCGAGTGGCCACCTGGTTCCCACAATTCAATTTATTTCAAGTTCATTCATATAGCACCAAATCACGACAAGTTGGTTGCCTGTGGAGCTCTCTGAGGGAGACTACAGAAACACATCAACTGTTTGAGTTGATGTTGCCTCACTTTGGAGTTGCTCAACCATGTTTCTCTCACTAAAAAGCACCCGAAAACGCCTGTTAGCTTAGGGTTAGCATGTAGCTAACCAACTACGGCGGAGCATGAACTGGCGTAAATGGCCAAGGAGCCCAGCTACGATCACAGCAGTCTGTTAGCTAGTAGCTACATTGGTTCATTTGCTTCAACCTCAGCTCCACCGCTTTTCTCATTCGAGACACTTGACATGACCTGAACGGCAGTGGTGGGAACCGCCTTTTTTGGCTTCAACTTGGCACATGGCGGAGCAATGGGCAGGCTATGTGATGAGACACGCAACATGACCAAAACGGCAGTGGTGGGAACCGCCTTTTTTGACTCAAAAATTAATAAATGGGTAATTGGGCAGTCTATCGTCCAGTATCTATGTCTATGGTTTTAGATTACGAACCCAGCTGATTTGTTTCATTCAATGGTGAATAGCTCATGTGGAAACTAATGACGGCTGAGGAGACACATCAGCAGTTACCCCCAAATTCCACTACCTCCGCTCCGCTCCGGTCCGCCCCCGCCTTCCGCAGCCGCTCGCTTCCAAACTCAATTTTTACTGGTACCCGCTCTAGACCGGCTCCGCTCTGGTGCGGAGACCTGAGGTGGGCAAACAAGCATGCGCAGGATTTTTGAGATCTTGCGATACAGTCCGAGCAATAAACGCGGAAGTTAGATCCAAACACCCGTTGTGTGGGAGAAGCATCGGCATGAACTGATTAATCTGCCCATCATGTGTGTTGAGAGATCAGCAGTGTTTGGATCAACAAAGGGTGACTACTTTGATAGTGGAAACTGTATTCATGGCTTACTTTTGTGCATTTAAACTTCAGCCGCCATTGATAGTTGTTAAAAGTTGTTAAACCTGTGCATATGAAACAAAAAACGCCTTTTGTTTATCAATTTATTGTGAAAAACGGAAGTTGTGCCCGCTCCTTTTCCTGTTGGACGGTTGTGATTTCTGTCCATTTACTGCGGAGGTGCTCTGGCGTCCGGCGAAAATAGGATCGATTCTATTTTTGCCAGACGCCAGAACAGAGGGCGGTGCACGGCGCCGCACTGCCGCAGTAGTGGAATTGCTCTGATTGACTACAACGGGACCGATTTTGCTCTGGCGTTCGTGTCAGAGCGGAGCGGAGGTAGTGGAATTTGGGGGTTAGATTTATGTTTTAAAAAGACACACAAGGAGAGGAGTTTTACTTTTGTTTTTACTAAAGGGACACTAGTGGGTGCTAAAAGCAAGCCAACACGGCTTAGTAGCCCTTTAACCGGTTTGTTTACACTGTCTGCACTGTATGTACTTTCAAGATATGTTCGGCTCTCCTTTTACCATTTGAGGGGGAATGGTGGTGCTGTTGATGAAGGAAGGCAGCAGCAACCTGACCAATCACAGGCTCACCGTCTCCGTCGCTTTCAACGAATAGTTAGAAAAGTGGGCTCTACTCTGTCCGTCACTGCGAGCCAGCTGGAGAGCCCTTGCAACAATGCATAATGATGTTGCATGTCTGTGCTGATGCAGACAGAGAAGCATAAGTTAGGCTTTAGGGCATTCCTCCTAATCACATTCAAAATGAGTGGGAAAGCCAAGTGATATAAAATAATGATGACGTGAGTTAATATTGCATGAATAGACGTGTGTGTTGGTGGAGCAGCTACAGCAGAAACAGAGCAGAATAAAAGAGATGATAGAGTCAGTCAAAATGGGCACAACTGCAAATATCCATCAGTTAGAATTAGTCAGTTTGTGTGTGTGTGCACGTGTTTGTGTTTGCGTGTGTGTGTGTGCACATGTGTTTATTTGTTTGTGTGTGTGTGTGTGTGTGTGTGTGTGTGTGTGTGTGTGTGTGTGCATGTGTTTACGTGTGCGTGTGTGTTTACATGTGCACTTGTGTGTGTGTGTGTGATTACATGTGCACTTTTGTGTGTGTGTGTGTGTGTGTGTGTGTGTGTGTGTGCATGCGTATGTGTGTGTGTGTGTGTGTGTTTACATGTGCGCTTGTGTGTGTGTTTACATGTGTGTAGGTGTGTGTGTGTGTGTGTGATTACATGTGCACTTGTGTGTGTGTGTGTGTGTGTGTGTGTGCATGCGTATGTGTGTGTGTGTGTGTTTACATGTGCGCTTGTGTGTGTGTTTACATGTGTGTAGGTGTGTGTGTGTGTGCGTGTGTGTGTGTGTGCCTGTGTTTACGTGTGCATGTGTGTGTGTGTGTGTGGGTGTTTACATGTGTGTAGGTGAGTGTGTGTGTGTGTTTACATGTGCGCTTGTGTGTGTGTGTGTGTGTGTGTGTGTGTGCGTGTGTGTGTGTGTGTGTGTGTGTGTGCGTGCGTGCGTGTGTGTGTGTGTGTGTGTCCTACAGGTCCAGTGACCTACTGAGGATTCATGAGAACACAAAGGATGACAGAAGCACCAACCACGCCTAACAGTGCAGGTGTTTCCTCCTCCAGCTGCTTCAGCTCCTTTGTTCATTTCCCCTCTGTTTCCGTCTCCACCCAGAGGGACAGATTCTGCTCTGTTCTGGAGGATGGCTCGGGCCCCAGACGGTGTCATGGTGATGTGATTACTACATGATGCTGCTGGATAATGGTGCTTCCGTCAGAACCGAACCCAGAACAAGGAGTAACGCACCAAAGCCACAACCCTGAGACTACCGCACCGAAGCGGCCACGATAATGATAGACAGCGCTCACCTCCAGGATTAAGCACAATGTCACGGCTAGTCCGACCGGTGGGGTCCCCATGGCTACGCCGGTATGAGAGCAGAAAGCCAAGTTCCGCTGCTGCTGCTGGAGGAGAGGAGAACGAGGAGGAGGTGGAGCTGCTCCTTTACTTCGGTTTCATCCTCCCAATACCGGAGACCACCCAGATCCACCAGCAGGGCATCGGACTCTTCGTGTCTAATAGCCGAGGAAAGCAAGAGGAGGGCGGGCCAGATAGAGAGGGAGAACCCGGTGGTGATGCTGCGTTATGCCCCTCCCCACTCCCATGACGCGCGCGCAAAGTGGTTGTGATGACCAATTTCTCCTAAAGCCAATAAAAAAAAACAATACAGACTCAAATGACTAGAAAGTGAATGATAATTAGTCGTTCAGAGACTGTCCTCCTGAGGCTTGAGCTCATTTCTGGGTTGTTTATATCTCTTCAGCGTGCGTGGAATAGTAAAACACGTTCAATGATTATTTCTATCGGTCACTGTGAGTTTTTCATGCAGGCTTAACATGAAAATAGTCTTCTACACCTATCTCCTGCAAGAGCTTCTAATAGAAAATGGGACAGGGAAAAGCATGGCCTCCCCGGATCTATGCCCACATAAACAGGCTGTAAAGCAAACAGTGGGAAATGTGATCAGACATTTCGTACCCCTGATCATGGGTCATAATGTCGAGGTTCACACAGACAGTTAGGTAGCAGAGGTGTACAAATATGGCCATGGTACAGTTCATTCAATCCCACTCTTGCACGTGCTCTACTATGCTGGACTCGTGCACTTGCTGTCTATCAGGACCACCTACATTCCACGTCACCTCAATGTGGAAGCAGACATCTTGTTCAGGGGGAACGTCGTGACTTGGATTGACACCGTCACTCTGATCTGATCACTTAGATGTGCAGCATGTTTGGGGAAGCCAACATGGATGTGTTTGCCCCTCGTGAGAATGCCCTGTGCCAGCTGAGGGTTTCCCTGAGACCACGGGACCAGCCTCCGTTGGGAGTAGATGCGTACGCACACGGGCCTTGGCCCCAGCACCACTGATTACCTGACTCCTGGATCGGAGCCAGGAGCCAGCAGTGAGGGTATTGCTCCTGTTGGGATAACTCTCACTGATCCTACAGCACTCGGGCATTTTTGTGTGTCCCCTTTTCTCTCTCTTCCTTTAGGTCTAGAAGTTGATCCTTGTACATCTTTTACTGTTTATTTTTGTGAAACCCCCTCTTCCATTCCTCTCCCCCATTCTCTTTCATTTCCGTCTCCATGTTCTTTGAAATTAAAAACAACCAAAAGCATCTCTAATAAAGTTTAGATACCAAGTGGAGGATTATAGCTGAATCTAGTGAATCACCTGTAAGAGTAAAACTGTGAGGCTTGTTTTCGGTACTCAGACAGCAGTTCTGATTGCCCTACAGCCAGACAGAACATGGGCTTTAAGGAGTAAATTTTATTTGTTTTGTCTTCACTTATCTGTTACTTGTGTGGAGAACTTTTTAAAATAGTAACTGAAAGCTTTCCATGAGAAAAAATCCCTGAAAGAGGACTGCTTTGTAGAACTTTTATCTAGAGCTCCCCTTCTGCAGTTAGAGAGGCGAGATCGGCCATGTGGGGCTGTCTTCTCTTCAGAATCACCGACTTAACCAATAAAATCACGTGTGACGGCTGTGGCATCCAGCATGCGTGCTGCACATCTGTGTTTAGCCTGGTCTTTCTGGCATCACCTTGTTCAGGCCAGGCTCACCATCCACCAATCACAGCCTCATGTAAAAGAATAAAGACATATTTGCATCACTAGTTTCTAAAAGTTTAACTGGACGACAATAAGACTTGCTTTGTATTATGCGTGGGAGTGGGAGGAGCAAAAATAGGCTCTCTCAGACATCTGTGTGCAAATGCGAAAATCCCAGGAGGGACGGGGGGACATGTCCGCCTCTGGCATAAAGTTGTCCCCCCCAAAAAAATTGAGCATATGAACATATTTAACAGTAATAGGGTCTGAGCTTGGTGGTTTCCCCATGCTTAGGGTTACCTAACAGCAAAGGTCAAGGTCAGGAGGTAGATCGATGGGCAGGGGGTTTTCAACACCCACCCAAAGTTCCCCCCTTCAAGATCGATAACAGGGACAAGACGCTTCAAAGATCAACCCCAAGTATCAAAGGCATGGTACCGAGGTCAGAGACGTACATGGGGTGTGTCAGCGTCATTGGACCGACCGTGAAGTGAAGAAGAGACACTTGGAGCACATGCGCGGACATTTAACACACATAAAGTGAGTTCTGGCGGTCAACCTCCGCCACAAGCAGCTAGGCAGAGGCGACTGAAAAGGGAATGGGACATGAGAGTGTGGTCTGAACCGGTGTCCAGAAGAGCATCACAGGGGAGCACCTGCTCAAGTGTCACTGGCACATAAGGCTTCCCAACCCTCCCTCGCAACAAGAGTTGTCCCAAGAACATTTTTTGCTGACCAGTCGCCAGGGGGCGCTGCACCATTGTCACAGGCGGATGAATCAATCATCGGTTTATCAGGAGCAGGCATTTGCTCTGCATTCTGGACATCAGAGTCAAGGAGTATGTCATCTGGTTGTAGGTTTTGTTCCAAATCTGAAAGAGAATCAGCTGAAATGAGTGGAAACACGTGCACAGGCAAGGAGGCTGTCTCCAAAGCCATGACTCTTTCATTTAAATTCAGAAAATTTTGGCTCTGTCTTGTGTCAGCAGAACAAAAACCCAGAAAAGAGATTTTTAACATTAGAAATACGAACCAACATGAAGTGTTATGATTTGAAAAGACTGGATAGGCTCACCCTTATAATGTAGCATTAAGGATTGGCTACATATGTGTTAAATGAACAATGAGATGTGATAAATATGAAATATCAGTCTGATTGATTTGACTTATCAGGGAACATATACACACTTGACAGACGCAAGTATATAATTGCTTTCTGTTTTCTTGACCAAACGTCGAAGTGAGTACATAGAGCTGCATGAATTGTTGGTGGGTGAACAAAATGGATTTAGGAAACATAGAGCCTGTATCGATCACAGTTATGTTTTATTCTCTGTTGTAAGGGCAAGACTTCAGGAAGGCAGAAATACATTTGTCTGTTTAGTTGATTTTAAATAGCATTTGACTGGGTAAATATATATCTACTGGAGTATAGGTTATTGTCTGCTGGTAGTGATGGAAATTATAAATCTTTTAAGGCATTATATAAATTACCAATAGCCTGTGTGCAGGTGAATCATTTAAGAACAGGCCGTATGCAGGTTCTTGCGTTAATTTGTCGGTATAGCGTGTAATTTGCGGTACTCGCAACGCTCTTCCGGATATGGCTTAAGACTAGCTTTCTTGCTAACCAAGCTTCGGGAAATAAAGCGCTTTTCTGGCTTGTTAACCAGCTTTAGGCGTCCCTGGTTAATTACGATATACCGTAAATCCTCTAATACAGGCCCGGGCCTGTATTTGACTCAAGCTCACCAAGCTCCAGGCCTTTATTGGAAGGGGGACCAGAATTAGAGGCAGGCCTCAATTTCTATTTGAGCAAAATGAACTAATGGTTCGCTGGAGTTTTTGACAATTAAAACTGCGCCCACATTTTCAAAGTTAAACACATTTCTTTTAACAACGGTAGTTTCTGCTTCAGCCCTCTCCCCCCTCCCCCTGCGTAGCGGCCGCAAACTCAATGATGCGCCTGCAGCCTCTCAGAGTTTCTGCTGCTCTAAACATTAAAATAATTATTTCATTTTCTGTTCCTCACTTCTGATTACCTTCAATGGTGTCTGTCAATGGTGGCTAAAAGCCCTTTTCAGATAGACATTCTGGAACATTTGTGGACAATTCAATCCGGTTTTTAACCGGAACTGTGTTTTCAGACACACCACTTTTGTACCGGAACTTGTCCTTTCGGCTGCGTTCACACAGCAGGGAAAAGTTCCAGATGTCTAACGGCATTTTCCGTGGACTGCATCTCGCCGGTCATTATCACGTGATAACGCTAGTCAATGACAGGCATAAAAAGTCACTATAGAGCGGTGAAGTCGACTAGTGACTAGTTCATACAACCCCTACTGCTCCCCACAGTGTTCTGCAGCATAATCAGCACGTTCTCTTTGAACTTGATATCAAATTTTCGTCTCCGCACGGTTAAAGTTACCCTCGCGGTCTATCACTGGCAAATCAAAAGTGTGACGATGACACAACCGCCCCCCGTACTTGCTTGTTACCACATTCCACCCGGCCACAATAAAAAAACGGCCATTAGTCACCTCCGCCGACTCCGACACCGGCCAAAAAATGATACCCGGCAGTTAATTAAATACAGGCTAATATTAGAGGATTTACGGTAAGTACAGAATTAATGTCCGGAATTCTTGTCGGAAAATGTTTAGTAATTCACGATTGATCAGATCGGAATCAGAGGTAGCTTAATGCTAACGGTGGTAGAATAGTTTTCTCTGTCCCACAGTTGCACAAGCTTCATCAACAGTGACAAAATCATACAAATAAACGTGACAGAATCACTAAAAGGACATGACAAACTCACACATAAATGTATTTACCTTTAAATATCAACAAACAGTTAATCTCCTGCAGTTTTAGCTGTAGCTTTCCTTATAGACACATAGACTTTGAGTGACAAGGGAGAGTAGCGCCCCTGGTGGTGGGGACGGGAGTCTCCCCGTTAGTGAAATAGGTAGGGAAAGCGTGGCATATAATGAGATTGCCCTTGTTTTCCACCCAGACACAGAAAATAATCATTTTTTGAAGAGTTAATTGATCAGAACCAACACGAAGTGGACGATTTCAATGAAGTCTGGCTGGCACGTCAATATGTAGGGTTTGTTTGAGTGCTTTAAGAGCTCAATATATATTACCTCTACTTATAACCAATAAGCTGTGATACTCTATATAAATATAGAATATCAACCTGCTGTGTTTTTACTGTGTTTAATCAGAAGATTCTAGGATTCTGTGTTTTATTCAGGGATTGTACACACTTCATTTTGATTCAGAAAAGAGTCAGGTTTATAAAAGTAAGAGTTTTATTCACAAACAATTAAAACATGACAGGTTAACTAATATTTACTGTGACGGATGAATCTAGAAGGAGTAGGTGTAGTGTATGGTGCCTATGTGTGAATACGATGTTATCAGAACTTCCGTATCTAGGAGAGCTTAGTTCTGGGTGTGAAGAATTCGGTTTGTGTTAAGCTATGAAGTTGATTATTATCAAAAGGCATCAGACGCTATCTG